TGCGAGTTCAAGCCACATTAGCGTCCACACTCCAAAACCCGAAACACGCTTGAAAAGTTGCTATTTTCAGTAGCTGCAGTAGAAAGAGCAGCTCCTCGATTCGTGTCAAAAATTTTCTTTTTGTTTTTTTTTTACAAAAAAAAATTTCCTTTCGCAGCTGTAATTGCAAACCGCAATTAATACTCGCATTTCTTAGTCGGAACAAATATTTGCGCGATTTTCACAGAAATGAAACGATAAAATTGCAGACTTTTGCGCGATTCCGAAGAAATGTTTATGCAATCCAAGTTGCATCCGTATGCTCTCTCTCTCTCTCTCTCTCTCTCTCTCTCTCTCTCTCTCTCTCTCTCTCTCTCTCTCTCTCTCATAGCTTATCGAAAATCTTTATGATTATATACATATTATAATTCTTATTGTGAATTAGTTCGATTTGACAAACAGCGAATCTGGGCTGGTTTGTCGAATCAAGTCTCTCTCGCCTGCCACAGTATTTACGACACGCTAGAACGATGCTCGACCGGGTACTTGTTGCCGTCGCTCACCGTCATTCCATATTCCTGCTCCGCCATCTCCTTCCTTCCCCGCTAATTTTTCCCCGCTCACAACACGGTCCAACTTTTTACTCTCTCCTCTCTTTCAGCCGCCCTCTCAGCCGCCTTTCTCCTTCCAGCGCGGCCCTTCCATCCGTCCGTATGATCATGCCATTCCACGGCGATGATCCTCTGCTCACCAGGGCTTGTACAGCTTCCACCCTTTGCCACCCTCCCTCTTTCTCTCTCTCTCTCTCTCTCTCTCTCTCTCTCTCTGTCACGGCACATGTACACACACGAAACCTGCTCGCGCACACCTAAAAGGGACATGCACACAACACACATTCTGTTACCGAGCGTTATTGCGCCACGGTGTTAACGAATGTCCACGCGATTCGATACACCGGCTCGGTGTCCATTCGACTGGCAAGATACTGGCGTGTAGCTGGTGCGGGCTGACAAGTCGCGCTCAACGAATGTAGCGGGGACAATGGATCGCATGAATAAAATGGAGCAAATGCTTCTGCTTTTTTACCTATCAAAGCAAATGTATGAGAACGACTGTCTGTGTCCGAAGTTAGAACAATTGTTTCTAATGTAAGTGAGAAATCTTAGAAAATTCCTTGAGACGAACAATCAAAATTGTGAATATTTCAATATCATAAGATTTTTTCTAGCATCTTTTGTCTTGAATTACACATTCTTTTATAAATCTAGAAATTTGTTGCTTTTTTAGAGTTGAATATTATGCGATTTAATTAGCAATGCCGATTTTATATTTGTTCTTTTCATTTTTACACCTTTTTTGATAAAATCAGAATCTATAATTCTCTAAATATAGTTTAATTAACGTATTCGTTGTTCAAGAAATATTTTGAGTATACCAGACGCATATGAATATACATAAATTATATATTGACTGATACATTTTTAAAATAATGTTGAATAGCTATACCATTGTCTGCTTGATAAAGTAAGTATTTTTAGCGTTAATAAAAGCGGAGCTTCGTATGTGAAGGTTCAAGAGGGATATCCTTCTGGCGGGCTGAATTCCCCCTCCGCGTGTCTTATAATCCACCTGCGTGTGTTTCATCTTGTAACGCCCTTTGCCTTTTTTTCTTGCTGCTTTTTTCCTCTCTTGTGATAAAAAAAAACTTTCTGAAATGTTGATACTACGTGCTTACGCAAATGACAGGAAGTAGCTGTTGTAGTTTACGTCATTTTGTATTAGATCGAGTTAACTCGTTGCAGTTAGAGAGGGGATGTAAACGCGAACATTGGGTTACAAGTTTTTTCATTACATCGCACAATTTAAGCTGGAAAATCAGTTTGTAATTTTATTTCGTGAAATTAAGTACTCTTTTTTTATCGTTCACAGTTTAAATTATTATGCAGTTAAACGGACATGTTTCTCGCGAAATAAGAAACTCGATGTGTTGCATATGGTATATCGCGTGTAACAATATTGCATAATAATTACAATAAAAACAAATTTATCATTAAAATGCAGCTTGAAGTAAATTTTATATAATTTCTTAATTGAAATTATTAATTGTCATACTAAATTATTCATTTCCCAAAATTAATTAAATTAACTAATGGACAATTTTTTTTCAAGTGTTTTCTCGTTTAACGAGTCTGTTTTTGCTTATTTTCCAAACATTCCATATTATGATTGACGACATTTGTGACTAAATTACGTTGTGTCAACGGATCTCCTTTCTTTCTCGCCGAGTAAAAATTTCGCTTCTCATTATTACGACGCCACTTTTTCCCAATTCTTTTTACGTAAACAGAACAACTAAAATTTCAGATAACTACAAGTGGTCGGTCCTTTTTCATGAACGATTTCACAACAGCTTCGTGAAATAGAAGAATAGCAATAACGAGGACAAGTATTTACGAATGATTTCACGGTATGGACTACACAAGAAGGATGCTCACGAATAACGAGAACAAGTATTTACTCTGGGGAAACAAAGGATCTCTCATACCTCATTCTTTATTCTCGCGGTTACTCAGTTACTTACACTGGGGATCTGCCATCGTAATAACGTTATCGTAAGATTCATCAATTTGTGAAATTTGCTAAAAATTGAGCTACGCGTATAATAGAAATTGTAAAATCGTATGTGTAAACTTTGAAATTTATAAAAATAAAAATGATCAATTTAAATATTAATATTTAATATCAAAAAATTTCTCAGTATAATAATAAATTGTATTAATTGATAAATTATAATAATCTCATTTTACTCTGAAAAACATAAATTTATACATATAATTTAAATCTGCGCAATTGTTTTATAAAAACGGCCTAGTTATCGAATCCGTACGAATTTAATAATTCAATAATGTTAAATAAAAAAATTAACGTGAATTAAAAAATTACTTGTATCCGCGAATATAAAATGGTAATTCTATAAACACAATTATGATGTAACGCATAGTTGGAAATATTCACTGTCCGCATTGTATGCATCGTGCAAAAAGTTACCCGTGCATTGTGTCAACGTGCTCTATGGTGATGTAATCGCTTGTCGACGTTGAATGCCGAGAATTTCTTTGACGTTGAAGAAAGCACGAAAATCGAGGGCGTATCACGGGTCATATGCTCAAACACTTTATCCTTGGCGAGAACTCCGGCGCAGTCGAACTTTAGACGCGATAATCTGTTACTCGTGTTCTCCTCACTGATTGTGAAACGATTCGCTAAGCTGGAGTTAGATTTCTCATTCAACCTCATAATAGGATATCCGGAACTGCATTGGCAGCTCATGCATGGAGTTGCATTATTTTAACATCAACTGTTAGATTAAATCGCTATTTTTATATGTGAAATATACATATATTTATAAATATTTTATAATCAGATTGATTTATTGAAAAAATTGCAAGATAGCGTTTCTAAAATAATACCGTGATTTATAAAAGAATCAATATTTGATTATAAAGAGAATGGCATTAAAGTAAAATAATATATCTCAGAAATAAAAGATAAGTATATGTGTAAAGTATTAACTTCTATAACATTATTCGTTAATATAGAGTTTTAATTTTCAATGTTTTTTTTAATAGTTGTAATTTGCAATAAAACCGCATGCACAAAAGTGAATAAAGGACAGGTAGCGTGCGATAATTCGTGTTAAAGTGGTGCAATATCGATAAGAATTGTTTGATGGCTCTGATTCAAAGGCATTCAGTCTTTGAATTACAGGAAGGCAGACTATCGCCCATAATTTCAGATCATGTGAAGTTCCAATCGACTACTTGAATAATTTAAAAATGGGTTCACCCTCTTTAAGGCGTATACCCTGTCGCTTTTTGCCTACCAGCGATGAGACCGGCGCGGGGGTTGAATGTGGTCTCATTCATGCTTATTTCAAGCTCATTGTGCGCCCGGTGTATTCAGCCTTTGACTCGTTTCTCGTGTCGCCGCTGTAGCGCCGCTCCAGAGAGGAGTAGGGCCGCTGCAGCATGTCGCTGTGTAGAGAATCAGGAAATACCGGTGTCACATTTTCTTCGATGGTAACAAACATGCAGCCACGGCGAAGGAATAGGAACATTGTGATTCATCGAACTATCGAACTTCTCTTTATGCGTAAAATGTAATTTACACGTGTGGATAGAAATAGCAGATGGGCACAAATGGAATTAATCCGCGATTTCATCTCCCGTCTGTAATTACGTAAATGCTTTATTTGAACGCATATCATTAGCCTAGATTTGGTCTATTATTGCGGCGAATCACGTAGAAAAATTTAGAAGTCGCGGTATCTCATGCGAACGCCATTTATTCCCATAAAAGCTGCCGTATTCGCGTGTTACTTTATACTAATTAGCGAAAAAAAATTACCCCGTAATGGATTTTTCATTCACTCTCGCAATGACATGCGGAATGACCCTTCGTGTTTTCGTGCGTTTTTACAGTCGATAGTAAAAAAAAAAAAAATTCTCCATTGTTCTTAGGAAGCTGAAGAGACAACGGGAACGCCTGTGTCGATTCGTGTATAACCAGATTTTGACAGCAGAATGTACCCAGCTAAATGGAACATGGCCTGACCCGGACGATCCGCGCTGGAACAGCGGTGAATACGCGGAACTTCTGCCCGACTGGTTCCCGACAAACGCGACGAATACCTCGACTTTCGGAAACGCAACGACCTCGCCGACATCGGGTAATGTAATTAAAATTAAGCCATACAAACACGCGACTTGCGGAGCACGTCGAGTAAAATTACGAGTCGCGTATAAAACGTCGAGTACATATTCTGTTGCAAAATTATTTATATAATTGTTTATTTCTTCAAATTATGCAACATTTTTTTTTCTAACGCAAATAAATTTAGTCCGTTAGTATAGTGCCGTTGCGTCATAAACGTCTCTATATTAAACGTCATGTCACGTGTGTCATTTACTGATAAAGCTTTACGTCTCCCAAACAGATGAATCTCTGGCGCCCGTTTTGCCACCATTTACGCTCTGGCAGACCGTACTGATTGCTATCTGTCTGGCGATATGTATACTGCTAACTATCGGCGGTAACATCCTCGTTCTTCTGGCATTCATCGTAGATAGAGCCATCAGGCAACCGAGCAACTATTTCATCGCATCATTAGCTGCCACTGATATGCTTATCGGTAAGTCCTACGAAATTTCCGCGTTTCGTTTTCGTCTCCCCACACAATAAACGTTGAATCGTAAAAATGATATCATGATGCAATTTTTAAATCTGTTCTGGAACATCTAAACCATGCCGTATGGTACAGTCGTGACAAGAGCAAAAGTTTTTATAGATAAAATTATATTTGAAGATAAAGACAATATTCCTATAGATTAGATTAATATTTTTTATAAATTTATAAAAATATTAATCTTTTTATAAATATAAATTTAGAAAAATATTAATCTAATCTATAGAAATATTGTCTTTATCTTCAAATAAGAAATTTTTCTAAATTATCGATTTAATAATTTTATGATTTATTATAAATGATGATGATTAGTTAATAATTTTGTAACTTTAATGTCGCAGTAATCTATCAAAACAATCTGTCAATAGCTTTTAAAAGATTTATAATTTTTCAAGTTGTGTTAAACATATTTAATGTCATTAATTCGTATGATAATATAAAATAATTTTATACTTTATATGATTTTGATAGAAATTAAATTATGTTAAAGCATTATTAAATGTTAAATTTCATAGAAATTAAATTATGTTAAAGCATTATTATAAAATATATAAGTATAATTGGGTGCAAAAAATATATATTTACACCAAAATATTTAAATTTTCGGTAATTATCGGTAATTTCGTTGTTGTCGTATTTCGAAATTAATTTACAATACGATTTGTGGCACTCTGCATTTCGATTCGCTTTCTTCGATAGGATGTTTGGGCATAGCTTCACGACCGTTTGATAGTATTTCTAATGCAAATCCCTCAGTTATGAACAGTTATCCCGATGTATTCATCGTGATGATAATCATACGAGATATGTAATTTGGTTATCGCGAGGTCTGAATGCGGAATACGAGTAATCAGATACACGTGGCAACAGAAACCGACTATACAAGTAACGACGTAATTGTTGTGCAGGCACCGTGTCGATGCCGTTCTACACAGTCTACGTGTTAATGGGATATTGGAATCTGGGACCTCTCCTCTGCGATCTATGGCTGTCAGTGGACTATACGGTATGCCTTGTGTCCCAGTACACTGTTCTCCTGATCACGATTGATCGCTTCTGCTCGGTGAAGATAGCCGCGCAGTATCGCAGTTGGCGGACGAAGCAGCGCGTAATCTGGATGGTAACCATCACCTGGATCATACCGGCGCTACTGTTTTTCATCAGCATCTTCGGCTGGGAGCATTTCATCGGTTACCGAGACCTAAATCCGGGCCAGTGCGCCGTACAGTTCCTCAAGGATCCGGTATTCAATACCGCGCTGATAATAGGGTATTATTGGACGACGTTGATCGTTCTGTTCATCCTCTACGGCGGCATATACAAAACCGCCTATGACATGCAGAAGAAAAGCGAGGCCAAGCAGCGCAAGATGCAATCGATGGTCGCGCTGAGCGCCGGCGCGATGTCCGGTATGGCCGGTCGCGCCGCCGGTATAGGTATTTCTAAAACACAGAGCACTTTGCTGAGTCAGGACAAACCGAAGATCGGGGCCACGTCGATGGACGACAGTGTCATCGGCGTGGACGCGATGACTGCGCATAAAACGGTCACGAAGACCACCGACGGCGCGACGGCGCCGGATTCCGCAGGCAAGAACGTTTCGAATATTACGGTGATGGAAACTGAGAAGTCCGAACGCTCCAGCAGTCCCGCTTTCGACTCCGACGAGGAGAGCACCACTGGCGGTACCGGGCAGCAGGTCAGTATCAGAAAGCGATCCTCGCTGGCGGGTCTGGTAGCCCAGTCCGGCGCTCTTCAGGTCTTCGCCACCAACGGACGCCTGAACGGCATCGTGCCGATCAAGGTCGAGCTGAGTGTGCCAACGGCGAGGAAACTATTGCCGACGAGTCCTACGCGCGACACGCCGACGCAGAAAGCTCAAACACTGCCGAAGATACAGGAGCTCAGTCTTCTGGACACCGACAATCCCGCCGAGCCCGACAAGTCCAGCAGCCGGACGTTGACGCCGGAGCAGTCCTTGAAATCGAACGACGCCGATGGCAATCAACAGTCGATTGCCTCGGTCGAGGCGACGCCGCCCGCTCAACTCAAGCGAACGTCGATCAGTAACAGTCAACAGAACATCATACCGCCGCCTATGCAGTTCCAAAGCAGCCCGCCGGTGTCGGAGAGTCCAACGATGTCTTCGCCGACCGACAGGCCCAGATCGTTGATCGTACGCTCCCACGGTCACGGCACTTACGACATCCTCACCGGTCTGGACGGCGGTGATTTGCGGTACATGGACGAGAGCTCCATCATCTTGCCCAGCCCTTCATACGAGAGTCCACCGTCTTCCTTCTCCTGCAGCCTGGCGAATCCGTTGTCGACGGCACCCCCGTCGCCCATTCATGGCGGTACCATGACGGCCGGCGCGAGTACCAGCCTGTTGCAAGCCACTCTCATCAGGGCGACGGCGCAGCAAGCTTCACCAAAATCGCATCAGCTCGCCCAAATCGCACAGAGCAAACAGCATCAGCATCATCCACCTGCGATGTCTAACGCATCTAGTCAAACGCACCCGCCGCGCGTGTTCATCACACACCAGACGAACGTCGCGTCGCAGACGTCGCCCACCGTCAGCAAGGTGCAAACTGCGGTCTCCGTTAACGCCGATAAGTCGAAGCGCCAACCGGTAACGACGGTGGTCACGACGACTGTGTCTATGCCATTAGAATCGTCTAATAGCACGACGGATCGATTCTCGGATCAGCCCACCAAGGCGAGCAGTAATCCGCCGCACAACTCGTCATCCAGCAGCATAATGCCGACGGCCACGAACAGCCAAGAGGCGAAGAGCCAGTCGAAGAAGAAGAAGGAAACGTCGGACGCGGAGGAGAGCGGCTCCAGACGCGACTTCGTCAAGTCTATCGGGAAACGATTGAAGGCCAAAACGCAGAAGAAGGACCTCACGGTAGGCCGGCAAAAGTCACGAACGGAGAACAGGGCGCGCAAGGCCTTTCGCACGATATCATTCATCCTGGGGGCGTTCGTCGCTTGCTGGACACCTTATCACGTATTAGCACTGGTAGAGGGATTCTGCGCGAATCCACCGTGCACGAACGAGCATCTCTTCATGTTCTCATACTTTCTGTGCTACGCCAACAGTCCCATGAATCCCTTCTGCTACGCTCTAGCGAATCAACAGTTCAAGAAGACCTTCACCAGGATACTGAGGGGTGATTTGCATATGACGTAGAGTATCTGCGAATCGCTCGAACGGAATACTCGTTTTGATAATGTAGCTAACGTAAGCGACAACGGACAGTTTCTTTTTTTCCTTTTCTTGCGGAGAAGATGGCCTTCCATATTTAATACCGAATTACACTCACTTGTCGTAACTGTGGTGAACTCGGACAATAATAAAATGAGAATAATATTTTAAGACTCGCCGGCGAAGTCAGGTGTTACGCGCCTTTTGTACATATAATACGCACTCGAGCCGATCGAAAGTCATTATACTGGTATATGTACATACGCTGTACACATGTGTGAATATTTGTTAACGTTTATGTGACCAGGACGCGCGCGTATAACAGGTGTATGTACGTGTAGTCTTAGGCAATTATATGTGTACCACAATAATAAATACTTTGCTGAACCGGAGATGTATTCCTAATAACTTGCGGTTCACGGTCCGTACTATAGCGAGAGCTACAGCTATTGTGAAATTTGACGCTGCGTGGAGAACGCGCGCGCGCGCGCGCGTTATGGTTAAAGTAGCAATTAAGTAATTTAATATAGTAAGGCAGTTAACGTAAACCGAACGAGGAAACATCGTTCATCACGAAAGACGAAAAGTGAAAATATTAAATAATATGTAAGACATTGGTATCCGGCTGCATTATAAAACATCTCAGTCGCTCTGTGAATAAAGGGCTGACTGTATTATAAAATACGCAGTCGTTTCGAATAAAGGACCGTCTCCTCTTGTTGTACGCAGTAATCGTAGAGCGTTTTCCAGCGTTGCATTATTAATTCCCGTCGTATCTCAAATATTTTACGGGTTATTTGACGTACTACTTACCTTTTTTTTATTTTTTACAAACAACGAATCAGCTTGAGGTAGCTCGCCTTCATAGAAGTACCGGAAGCAATTGACGATTTTCTTACGGCTCTCGATCGTGGATCGGAAATATACACTGCCTTGAGATGGCCTAATATGCAGGCCTTTTCTCTTCGAATTTTGTGACACCTGGTACTCTCCTCGCAAACGAGCTTCCATCGATGTCTGATTGACGTTTCGTGGCATCGTTACGTTCGCATCTACGACATGTAAAGATCGTTTTATTTTAATAAGTTTTAAAAATTAATTTTCAATTAATTGTTGATCATTAGCTAATTATTTCCAAATACTTAAATTTTATTATTTTTGAACAATTATTTTTTATCTTTTTATAAACCTGGACATTTTTATCATTAGTAACAGTCGTGTTTTATGTACGTATATGTTAATATTATATATTTTAATTAAAAAGGTGTGTGTATGCAATAATTATTGTGTCGCAGATACGAACAATTATTTGAAGTTTATTACTAGCAGACTGTGATTATAACACGTGGCATCACGAAGCTTCGTTTCAGTATTGCTCTTATCTTTAAAAATCTTTCTTCTCAATAAAAATGCCTAATTTTTTCACTCCATTTTATATGAAACGCATGTGTATCTCGCGATTACTGCAAATTATAAAAAATTATGCATATGAACACAAATTGTAACAAGTAATTCATATTTACATATCTCTCGTTATATTTTAATAACGTTCATAAAAGCATTATCTCTATTATCCTTGTTTGCGGATGAATCAAATATACATTTACACACACACACAAATGCAGGAAATCAAAATTATATAATTCCTGTTAATTAGTAAAACTAATTTATCAAAAATGTGTATAATTGAAGATAGCTACAATGCTTGCGGTATAAAAGCGACAAATAGTTAATAAATTAATTAGCAATTGAGGAAGCAAGTGGGACGAACTGGATATTTACATTTTTATATTTATATTATACAAGATATACCCCAAAAGATAAAATTATCATTTCCCATTATCGTTTCAAATTATTATTTGTATCATCATTTTATTAGCGTAGACTGAAGTGGATACGTAATCAATAGCATGCAATGTCTATTGCATTAATCAAACTATCAATCAAACATTAAAATTGTTAAATACTTTCTTCATCAATTGCTCTTCTGTTTATGTCAGTACATATTTAAAAAAAGACAATATATATTCAATTGAATATCATTAAATATATCTTAGAGCCTTAAGGACATCTCTCAATTAGATGTTATTTAAGTAAAATTCTGGTACGTTGCCAGTTTAAATAAGTCACAAACTTTAGAATTACGGACTTGTTATATGTTACAAAATTTTAGGCGGACAGAAAAGGTGCTTAATTAAATAAACTCATATCACAGTTCGACCCTCGTAAGACGCATGTTTTTTTTCTACCTGTTACACTCTTATTTTTACGTCTCGTAACGTAGCTTTACACCGTAGGATTAGAAAAAAACGTCCAACAAAATAAATCGTTTTTTAGTTTGCCGATTAAATGGAAATAGCAAATTTGTTATTGTATTATAGACTTTATAGTATAATTCTCTACCTTTGTATTAATTTGATATACGATTCGCTTCGCTCGTAAATTTCATCTGATTCTGCTGCAACATTTTATCGCTAGAAACGCGTCATGTTCTTCCACAGAAAAGTACAGAGTGTCCCGGGAAATAAATAAGAGTTTTATATTCACATGAACGGTATGTGGCATTGTGAAATAGCCACGGGGACATTTTGGCACTTTGGATATCTTCCGAAATTCACTGCCAATAGTGAGAGTTATCCCGTTTCTTCATTACGCTAAATATAATTATCTAAATCAGTTAATAAACGTTTTAACATCAAATAAAGGTCATTTTAACATCAAAATGACGGACCTAATCCCGGAAATGTTCCGGGAGCACTAATAGGGCGTTTTAATCCGATTTGAGATTCTGCTCCCGAATTATATATAAATTATTTATTCGTAAATTCACCATTTACGATTAATTTATATCAGTAAGTTACGCTTAAATAAATTACCCAGCAAACGAAAATGAATTGAAATGGATAGAAATGAATTCATTTCGATATTTCCGAATTGGCGCTTCTGATTTTTCGAATCCATTTGAATCCATAAATAATATAATACGAATATTAATACATCAGAATTCAACATGGTAAACAGCTCCTTTCGTATTTCAATTTATTTGAATCCAAAAATAATATAATACAAACATGAATACATCCGAATTCAATATGATGAATAACTCACTTCGTATTTCAATTTATTCGAATCCAAAAATAATATAATAGGGACATGAATGCATCTTTTCTAAAAGCGGACTCTAAAAGCGCCAACTCGGATAAGTTAAAATGAATTGCAATTTTTAATTCATTTGAATTAATTTTCGTTTGCTGGGTAGTGATACGTTTGCATTATGCTTTCTCAGCCTTAAAGAATTTCGGGGTACGCTCGTTTCTTCATGCGTATGTCGTTATAGCACACGCAAGGGTAGAATAATACGCGCTAATAATCTCGTGAAAAAGAATGTGAGGAAAGATCATTGCGATAATAATCAATAACGAAAATTAAAGAAGAAAACACGTTCCGCTTCTGTGTCTTGGCTATCTAGAATGTAACACGTCGGCGTCGATTATGATTAGTAATAGGGCTTAGCGTAAACGATTTACTGTGCGCTTCGTCAACAAAAAGGAAAATCAACTTGCATCAAAACACTTCTGTGAACGCCGGATTCTTCGATACGATCGACGCTACGACATATAAGCGATCATTGTAAAAACGATACTCCGCTTAATGAGACTTAAGTCCAAAGATCAGCTTAACTGATCGAGAAGGAAACGATACGTCGCAGCTCTAAACGTAGTAAACTTCTCTCTGTATGATACGTAGGCTATATTTAAAGATATAATGATAAGTATCCGGGCACAAGTAGCGGTGCGCTTATTGTACAGAGACTTTGTAGAAGAAAGAGAGAAAAAAAAACAACTAACTTATTAAGCAGGCGCCATGTAGCGTGTATACAAATATGCATACATATACGTAGCGTGACGATGGGTAGGCAGAGTAAAGGCTGCTTAGTGCTAAAAAGGGGAGAAAGACCGGTAGACGGTGCAATATCTAGCGAATAAATATAATTAGCCGTAGGCAATAGCATGATTAAAAGAAGCGCAGGTAATAAAAATAGCCGCGTGGAGATACCGTATATAAAGAGTATTGTCTAGATGGTGGAGAAAGTATGTGTTTGCGCATTATATTTCCCCGCCCGACGGTCATGCTTTTATTATAGATTATTCGTTGTAGGTCCGTGAAACGGACAATCATCAAAATTGTGCGCGACGGGTCGGAAAATGTATGATTAATGTGCATTTTATGCTCGATCAATTTCAATTTAATCCTATATATTGTGGAAAATTTAAATAGAGAATTCTTCGTCTGTAAACAATTCACATGGTGGGAATAAGTTCTGTCGTATGATTTACTGCTATTTTATTTGTATAGATTACATTAAAATGTGCCACAAATTCCGTGCACGTTTCGCGAAAATAATTTATGTTAAAATTAAAATTATATGGATATACGCGCACACGTAAATATTAACGAAGAGATAATACAATTAAAGAAGGATTAAATATTCAGCGTATTTGTATTCTAATATCCTATTTGCGCTACTGTATAACGAGCATGACAGACAAAAGATTAATTTAATAATTACATAATATTATTTTAAATATTTTCTAAAAAGAAATCGCGTGAGATCAAATTAAAAATGCAATTGTTATTAAATAATCATAGACAATATAACCTATTTGTCCGATAATCTTGATTTTAAAAATCCATGTAAATGATTATTTTTTATTCTCCTTTATATTTTTTTTTCTCGATTATTTCATTACCTCCCGTCGTTCGTCTTATTTCTTACACATATATAATTTATAAATAATATAATGTATGTTATGTAATAATTATAATGCGTTATAATACTTATAATCTACTTTTAGAATAATGCAGCATGCTCTGATTGTGGGATCGATATTTAGAAGTATATTCGCCATGCATAACGTCAAATGTCTACTGCAAATTGGCAATTCAAATTAATGTATATGTGAATAAACTAAGGTTCGAATGAAATTGTGACATAGATGTTATCAAGTAGCAATCGATTTTTATTTATATTGCATCTCTGTATGCAAGCCATACACGAAGGTGCACCATATATATATAATAATGCGCGTCCTGAAGTATAAATGATACTTAATTGCTGAACCTGTAAGTAAAAATGAATATAATAAAGTGAGACAATGCAACGTGATATATAGAAAAATTATTATAGCATTTTTCCTCTCAATAGTATTTCCGTTGATATAAATTATATATAGATAAGGTAAGTATGAAATTTTTTCAAATTAACGTTTCATAAAGCAATATAATAAAACTCAAAATATATAAAAAGATATAATAATATAAACATAAAGTTTGATTAATTCTTTCTTTCAAAATTAATTTACTAAGCGCTTAAAACATTATCACGCATGATGCTATGTGCAAAATAACAATTTTGAGATATCTGAATTTTATTTACAATCTTAATCTTAGAAGATAAAAGTTTGAAGTACTGAAAATATAATAATTATTTATTTTTGCGTGATAAGGCTCCAAGATTTTAAATACAAACGAGAATAGTAAAGGTGGTGACATCTAATCGAAGCTGTATCAATCTGTACCCACGTAATCCATTTGAAAATTTCAATAAAAATAAATAGGTTGAAAAAAGTAATATATATATATATATATACACAAGAATTTGTTTTGTAACTAATAATAAAAATGTGTGTGTAGACATAGAATACCAATAGCATATATAGACATCTATCTAG